TAAACAAACATGTACCTACCTACCTACATACATACGCTCTCCTGTACACATAACATTGTCAGCACATACGGTACGGCACCCAATGCATGAAAACATGTTCAGCAAAAGCTATTTTGTTTTCCTTTATTATATCATCGACGATGGATGGACTGGATTGGAGGATAGACTATGTTTGTTAATCATTTTGTAATTAAACGACGATTTTACACACAAACTCGTATTTGTTGAAGACTTGATAGATCTTGATAGATCAAGCGAAGGTAATAATATCCGTTGTGGAAGGTAATAATATCCATTAAGTTAATATTTTGTTTCTCCTCCGAATGCATTCTTTAAATTCGATCGTTTTAATATAATACAATAATATAATATAATATAATACAATTTTCTAAAACTTTTAAAAACACAAAAATAGTACAAAATCATGTATATGCCGTTTCCCAAACAAAAGTCGTTTATTTTCAATTTGGTTTAAATCCATTATTATCGCGATAAATTCATTCGTAAAATGAGCCCGGAACGAAAAGAACTTATTTTGAATCATTCGCGAGCGAATTTTGCTTAACCTGCATAAACCACTTTAAAAATAAACGATTCATATGATAATTTTTAGATAATTTACTGAAATAATTGTATTACTCGAATTTAGGTAATATTTATTTAATTACCCATATATTACTTTTTCGTATGAGTGCCTTAAAACCCTTAAAACCATACATTTAGGGTGTTTCTCAAATTCTACCAGACCGAATATTAAGCCATTTATACTTTATTCCATGCTTACAGACTGACATCAATCTTTCGTTGTGTGTTATAATGTGTCAGTATTATGCGATTTCGATTCTTCCTCTGTCTGTGTGTTCGTCGTTCAGTTTCGTTGTTGTGTTGTAAAGAATCTGAAAATACAACAACACAAACATGATTTTCACAATTGCATTGTGGTCTCGTTGCAAGTAAATGACAATAAAATTATATAAACATATTTTCAAATGGACGGACACACTGGTAGGATAACATCCATACCATCAACCAACCAAGCAGCCACTCAGTCAGCCAGGCAACCGGCAAAGCAAAATGCGAATACATGTTCACATACACATATATTATATATCTCTTCATTTAGCCACCAATACAGCTGCACACATACACATACATCAAATTATGTGTAATGCTATGATTATGGCAGAAAAGGTTTTTCTGTGCCATTGTTTCATTCGCAGCAGACTGTATAGCTATGTGTGTGTGTGCGCATATGTGGTACGTATGCTTGTTGTGCTTATTAAAGTTGTTAAGAGACTTGCCGCACATTTGGCTCGGTACAATGATCGGCGTCGTATTGCTGTGTGGGTATGTGTGTGCGGTTGGATTGAGGTTGTCCTGGTGAAAAGTTGCTTAAATGCGATTAAAAATTATTTTTACATTTAAGGAATGAAGTATGGGAGGATTGCTTAAAGGAATGTTAACGTAAAATGCATAAATTAATAACGACGTTTCTCAGGCTCTCTGGCTTTCTCGCGTGCACACACACACACTTAAATACATTAAAGTTGATTGAAACAAATTAAAAGTAAAAAAATATATAACGAATATAATTTATGAGAGAAAGACAAAATAAATGACACGTGCATCATGTTGATATTTTTATAAGCGACATATAATGACAAGGCGAGCGAGTAGAAGGCTTTACGGAAACAAAGTTATTACCTTTAAATTATTTTGACAAATTCAGGAGTATGGAATTACAAATCGTTTAATTTGTTTATGTTGTAATATTTCCTGGGGGCAATACAGGGCCAGCTGATTAATGAGCTTTAATTACTTCTTTAGATAAACATGAATTCTGTTAATTACACTTGAATACTGGGAATGGTTAGTTCTACCATAAAATACAAATAAAAAATGTGAAAAAGTTTTACATACACTTATATTAAAAAATAAAAATATGGTTCGGGAATTGAGCCTACATTGCAATTAAGATATAACTTTGTTTTATAACAAATAGTTTTACTAAAACACATGTGGAAATCCAAATTACTTGCAGGTAGGATAAGTAGGGTTATTTTTTTGTATTTGATCAAACCCCCTCAAAGTTATCTTTACTTATTGATTGGTAATCGTTCAGAAGGTTTATACGAAGGTTTGAACGTGGGGCCAAAGATGATTAGTTTTATAACACTGTGCGACAATTTTTTTCGAAAATTACTGGGAAAATCCCACAGATGAATGCGGGGCTAAAAAAAGAAGACACGTGTATCGGTGTTTTGAAAGTTTACGTCGGGAGGTAACCTAAGAAGAGGGGGTAATATTCCCCCTTTTCAAAAGTTTCTATAATCTTCGAATTATGATCCTTGCATTTTAGGTATATAGTACATTCGGCAATATTACTGATAAAATATCAAGGAATATTTTGGTATACAACTGTAACCCTCATTGAAGGTGTCTTTTTGGTCCCCTTTTCCAGAAGTGATTGAATAATCATCCAAAAAGGGGTTAAGCTGTTCAGAATATTCTATAGTAATGTTCGCCATCATATTTTACTATAAGTTTTAGAATAGACTAAAACTCAAAAGTCAGTCTAAACGTCAAAAATCTTAAAAAACAAAAACTCAATTTGGTGTCAAAATCGTAATTATTACTAGTTTTTACCCATTTTTCCCACTAGATGTCGTTCAATAATTTTTAGTATAAGTCATTGAACGAGAGAAATCTGTATACATAATGTATTTTTTGTCAAAGATAATTTCCAGAACTTTTTTCGACTAAGCGGTATACTATGACAAATAATTAAATAATCTACGCCAAATTCCGCAGCATGTCCCAAAACATACTATATATTTATATTCAATAGTTTCTAAAAAATTTACAATATAAAATTAACAGAAGTCAGCAACAAAATTCTTGTTATTTTTTGTGTTGCACAGTGTAATTTTCAGGTACAGGTAATAACGAACTTCTAATTAACATTGGAACCCAAAAATGTAATCATGATCCAAATTGCCTATAAAGTGTTATTTGTGGTACGTAACATAATTTCCCCAATTTGGAAATGCACATTTCCCAATATGGAAATGTGAGTAATATAGAATGACTTTTTAGAAATTCTCGTTCATATGTCAATTTCAACTCGCAGTTGGACTCCAAAATTGTTGTCCCGCAGCCAGTAAATCGGCATTGATAATTTCTTCCCTTCAATTAATTAAATTGTCATTTGTTGTAAATGTATGTTTTAAACGTATCAATTTTAGTTGGTCTTATTTTTATTGCCTTTAAAATCAACAATCTTCGTTTGAACAATTTTTCGAATTTATAATATCTGGCCTAGTCGATTCCAACATCTTTCCCAAAAAGAGGCTTTCGATGATACTCATATCCAAGGCAATATTTTTCTACTCTACAGAACCCAGAACAGAACAAAGTGATTTTACTTTTCGAATTCTTTTTTAATAAAAAAATACAACATTTTAATTAAAATTCTTTATATTGAATGTTTGTGAGACTGAAAAAAGTGGGTAATGGGCATCCGACAAAGCACACAAAAGGAATACCAGCAGACCAACCAGCAAAAGGAATATGAACAGATATAAACTGTTTGTTCTTTTTTTAAGTTTACTGTAATTCCTTTTTAACAAAAAACGACAACAAAAATAAAAAATCAAATTGATTAACATCGAAATCTATGTAGAAGGAGAAATATGTAAAAAATAAGAGGAACAACAGTTGAAATTAAATGCGGTAAAGCAAGAAATTGAAGAATCCTATACATACATATGTCAGAGCGGTCTCTCTCGCTCTTTGGTAACCATTATTTCCCATGGAACCTTTGCCAATGGATAGAGGATCAAATCACTTGGAAATGAAATCAACCATATGATGAATAAGAAGGGGATAAAGTGTCTGCATATCAGCGACTTACATACACATGCACACACACACACTCACACATATTCCAACCAATCAAACTGTATTGAATTCATGCAAAAAGAAACTTTTTAATTGTCGATTTTGGTGTTAACATAAAAAAGAACAAAAAAACGTCAAACAGTATTAACGGCCATAATGGTCATGTCTCTTTACGTAGCACACTACAGCAGACAGGAAATAAATTGACTATTTTCGAATGCACATTTCAAGGCCGTCATATGGAATGAAAAGGAAAGGACATTAAAACATAGATGTCATCCAATACATTAAAAGAGTTATTGTAAATTAGACTAAAAAAACGATGTGTGTAGAAGTTAAAAAAGCTATTGTGGTACCACGTATCAGTTCCGCGCGATTTTAGGTTTCGGAAAAGCCTATACACAAACTAAATATATTCAAATAGATTTAACAGCGAAATTACAAAACAAAACATATTTTAGTAGGGTATATATGCTGCTGCATACAACCATGCATCCGCATAAAACGGAAATATGAAAACCTCTTTGTGTGCACTTTACTGCAATTCAAAGCGTATTAAAACACCACTCCATTAATGTTGTTTTAATTAAAAAATAAATTTTACTGTTTAATTCAGCATAAACATATTTTTATGTAAACATTTCCTTTTTGCTGCCAGTCAGTCAACGAACAAACCAGCCAGCCAGCCAAACAGACAGACAAACAGACGCACTGGTTGCATTTTTGCCCACAAAAGGCCGAACAGTTTAAATAACACTTGAAAAGTTGCCGGCGAACACCAGCTGAAGTTGTGAATTTATAAATGTGCGGAGTCAATGTGTAAAAATAATAAAATGAAAATCTTGAAAAATATTTTAATTCACCAACCGCACACACATACACACACACAAATAAGAATAACAGCTAAAACTAATGGCTTTATCAAATATTATATAAATGTAATATCCTGAAAATGGTCCCATGAGAAATGTTGTAAAAACAGCAGAAAAACAAACATTTTTTATCACTTCCAATGAAAACACCAACACACATTTCAACAATTTTTTTTTTTTGCTTTGTTTTGTTTTTTTTTTTCTCATATCAAAATCGTTTTATTCAATTTACATGGCCTTATTGTTGGAGCTTTCATCCTCGGAATAATCATTGTCCGCTGTTGTGCTTTCCAACCATTCTTCGGCATTGCCATTGGCTTCTTTGGCGACATCATGATCCACCGGCAGCTTATCTATGGCATCCAATATAAACTTCAGTGAATGACCTGTTCGTGGCAGCCAATCGAGCCATCCTTTCGATTGCTTTACACCGTTCTCGGTCGTCTCATCATCGACGAAATCCAGATCACCTCCAGATAAGGAGCGTGCACCTCCCAAGTAATCCGTGTAATCGTAATCACTTACAAGAGGATTTACTTTTGAATAGTAAATAGCAGCAAATGTTGAATAAATAATCAATAAAGCTGTGCCAACCTACAATGAAATCGAATCGAAACGAAAAGAAATACAATGAAAGAAATGAAATGAAAAACAGCGTACATAACAAAAGGAAATATACATGTAAATAAGAGTTAATCTGATACTCAGCAGTTTAAGTATAACTCAGATTCATTTGATGATATTAATACTGCAAAACCAAAAAATACTAAATGGTATTACATTAGTTAATGTAACATATAACAAAATTGAACTATAATTGGAATATGGAATGTCGTACTTTCGATAGAATATCTTTAAAATGATGTGTTTCGATAGATGGCAACCTTACAAAATTTTTTTCTTAAGGTACACATTAAAGCAGGTGTGCCCAAAAAAGGTCCCATGGGCTGTCGGTGTGTGTCAAAACTCTCACACACACAATGATAAAAATAGAAACATTTGAAAATAAAAAAATATTTTCGAAATTGTCATTCATTCCTTTTTGTTTTCATACACTGAACGAAAAAATTAGGACATTTTTGGCAAAAATTAGTTCGCTTTTTTAGGACCAATACAATGGAGATTGGCGAAACAGAAGCAAATCTACCTTTATATAGCGAAATATATCATTAACAAGCATATTTGCATTGAATACAAAATGTTCTTATTTTTATAGAACAATTTTAAAATTTGAAATACAACTTTTTACAATTTTTCTCACAGTTTAATAAGAGAGAAACATAAATTTGAAAATTGTGTATTTGAAACAAATACAATAACACACATTTGCATGTATTAGTGTGGACAGCCCTGCATTAAAGTGACACTTCAATCCTGGTGTATCATATAAAAACTTTGAGGTATCTTGAAAAGTCCCCTGCTCATTGTAAAACAATAGTATTTAACACATTTCCAAGCGAGGATGATACAGCAACCACCACATCGCTTTTTTAGTCGCTTTGTAAGGGAAGCAAAGGTGGTTGCTGACTTCTCAGAGGGTTTGGATGGATTTTAATATTTTAAGTTGAGGAAAAGGAAATCCATTATTTTTATATGAACTATAGGACTTTATTTCAATCCTCACAAGCCAATCCTTCACACGATCCTCCCTAGATACCATTTTTTATTATTAAAGACATTTGCAAGGCAAAATGGTGCCAAGTTCGGACTGTATGGCGGATGCATTAAAACTTCCCAACCAAGCTCCCGAAGTTTAGGGCGAGTCACTGTATATGTGTGTGGCCTAGCTTTGTCCTGGTGGAACACGACACATCTCCTGTTGGGCAATTCTGACCGTTTCTGGTCAATTGTTATCTTCCAAGGCCCAGTTGTTGTTTGGCCGTATGTAACCAACTTATAATAAATAATCCAGTCCCAAGAAATGAATAGCAGAACCTTCCTGGAGGTTAGTCCTGGTTTGGCCACCGCTCTTTGACTCCTGGGCGATGTTACGACTGTCAACATGCGGCCAACTTCGATCGTTTCTTCGATTTTATCGACATTTTCATAATGGATTTCTTTTCCCCCAACCTAATATTTGGCAGAAGTTTTACATTTCTAGTCATGCGAACCAACACACCTCCTATGTCGGATATATAATGTTTTGACAAATAATCACTTCCGAGTTCCTTAATTTTCGCGATAAACTACAAAATGATCGGTTATAACTTAATGATGGTGATATTTTTTAAACTACATTTTGATTTATGTATTTATTTTGCTTTCTCTCTCGTTTCGTTCTTCTGGTGAAAATAAACAGGCGATGACATTATATAACCAAATACGTTATCCTTCACTCAATCCCCTATGCATGTATGGCGACGCATGAAAACGTCATCAAAAATGACACAGACTGAGTGAACAGCAAACGAAGAAGACAATGACGACGGACGCAACCAAAAAGTATGCATTTAAATGACAACACAACTGACAACAACCACGAAAATAATTATTACTTTGGCTGGCGGTCGCCTGTGGTTGTTGCTACTGTTGCTGCAATGTTGTGTATTTGTGTGTGAGTGCATGTGAATGTGAATAAGTTGAACTAGAGTAAAGAATAACTGGCTGCTCAACTCTCCAGTAGAGTTCTAGGTGATGTATCACTCATCACCTACAGCAACGCAGTTGTTTTTGTTGTTTTCTCTCCTTTTTTGTCATTGTGACTGCCGGTAGAACAGTTGGTGAGCAGTAGTTGTTGCTGTTGTTATCGAGCTATTGTTTTTGTTCTGTTGTTGCCACAGTTGTTAAATAACATTTGGCACCTGACATTCTTTTCTACTTTTCACAACAAGTCACAAATCAGTGTTGACCATACTTCACGTTTTTCATTCATTCCAGTTGTGTGCGCATTCAGACATTCACTTATTTTGCCATGTTCACACACACACACGCAGATATACATGCAGGTGGGGGACGAACATAATATGTGAATGGTTAAAAGCAAATCAGTTCCAAGAATAAGCACAATAAATATGAGGACAACAAAACACACCAGTGGCAGCAGCAGGTCAATGTAAGATTTATGAAATATGTGTCGGAAAACTGAATATCCCTTTGAAGAGAAGTCGCACAATTGCATAGAAAAAAAGAAATGGAATTGGTGTGTATGTACTCCATATTTGCTTTGTGAAATTGTTACACAATCCACTGCGTAGGATGCACCGTGCGTATGAGTGACATAACGTACACAAACGTACAAACGAGTGCGTATCAGAATAATGCCAAGTCAAATGTTGTGTAGGTGTGTCAATAATTGCCACATATGATGTCTTATTCAATGTAGCAGCAGCTGAATATTAAGCACTCAACTACGTCATGGATATTGTCGTTTTGGTTATTCAATTTTCCATTGATACGAAATTTAGCAGGTGGTGGAAGATGAGATTAATTTTTTACACAATTGCTTACAACAACCTTGCAGATTATTATGATAGCATTGCGTCAAAAACAGTTGTCATTTGAAAAAATTTCATGTGAAATATGCAAATCAATGAGATTCAATTGAATGACAATATAGAATATTGAAATACACATTTGTTAAATAAATGGAAATATGTTAAAAGTTATTTTTGGACAATGAAAAAATGAAATGTGAAAGAAATAAAAAAGTAAAAATTAAATATAGACAACAAATTTGAAATATTTTAGGGACTTAATATGCAAAGCAAGACAATACTACAATATGAGTAGGTTTATTATCCCCTGATAAAAATACAAAATTTATTGTGTGCCACTCCATTTGTTTATTATTTACTGTTTTCTTTTAATTCTTCCTAGTTTTACATTATTAACTCGTGAAATATATTAAAATATTTTTATCAACACTTTGCTTACCTGAAATACAGCCCAAAATTTGTATGAACCCTCAGTAATGACGAAATCATAATAGCCCTTCAACGGATCCCCTTTGATGTAACGGCCCTCACCAACATCTGTGGATTCACTGGCCGTCTGTCTTTTTGTCCGTAAACCTTCCGCTTCAGTGATCGCTGTCTTTTCGCCTTTTGGCGCCTTGCGTGGCTCAACTTTAGCCTTATTTAGTTGTTGTTTGACTTTCGGTGATGTCACCTGCATTTCTTCCTCTTCAGTAGATGATTCGGCACTACTAGCCAATGTTGTTGTGCTTACTTTTGTGGAAGGTCCTTTGGTCGTTGTTTGCTTAGCATTTGTCTTGGGATTTTTGTTATTGTTGTTTTCGGGTTTCTTTCTATTCTCGATTTTGGTTGGTTTCTTTGAATTGATTCTTAACTTTTGCTGCTGCTGTAGCTCTTCCAATTTTTGTCTCCTCAATTCTTCTTGTCGGTTTTGATGTTCGGCCATAGAATTCCATGCAGAAATAAATGATTGATATAAATCCCACATAGTCTTGATGGTTTTCAAAATGGTTATAAGATTCAATTCACTGCTTTCTTCTTTTTGCTTTTGTACAGCTGTATTGGTCGTGGATGGGGAAGGATGATAGCTTTGCATTTGTTGTTGCTGTGGATGATATGGCGGTGATCTCTGACGATAACCAAAATAGTCATAATCATAATAGGGATCTCTGAAACGGGAGAATAAAAGAAGTGGAATTAGTTATTAAAAAGTGGCAAATTAAAAAATAATTTCAAATTTTTCTCCCCGTCAAATGTTGCTAAAACTTTTGCCTATTTTATTGTCTGTCACGACTGTCATAGGCCGTTTCCCAAACTTGTACTATGTTCAAGAAAGAATCTATGTGCGTTCGTGTGTGTGTGTGTGTGTGAGAGAGTATGTGTGCGGTTTCCTATACTTCCTCTCAGTGCATTCTGCCACAGTTTTTACGCCTCGTTGCCTAACACTGGCAAAGACCGCCATAAAATAGCATTGAAAAGGAAGTGATAACGTTGCAAAAGTTTTGTAGGTACGCAGGCAAATCCCCAGCACACTAACATTTCCAACATTTCCTTGCTTTTGACTAATTTGCCGTCAAACATCCAGTCAGTCACTCACCCATTCACTCTTACTTGCATGCATTTTCATCTCCGTTAGGAATGACATCGAAAACTCTCGCCTGTCTCATGTGCCATCACAATTCGCGTGGTTTGATGTCAAACAAGCAAAGATGCAATGATGCATTGATATGCCACACTAATAGAAAAAAAAAACTCGATGCATGCCTCAGTGTAGATGTATAAAGGTTACGAGATGAATTTGAAGAGGAAGATATGTGTATGGGTATATTAAGTAGGGGTTGATTGAGATTTGTGACGAAACAGTTCAAGTATGTAAATTTAAATTTAAAAAATGTTTATTGATATTTCACTTTTTCTAGATAAAATGTGTTGAGGACAAAATCCGCTAGAACATGTATATAATTTTCCAAAGTATTATATCGTATATATTTTGTGACATTGCAGATTTTTTCCGGAATGGTACAGAGATCCTCTTTTTTTTAAATTGAAAAATTAATTTATAAGAGATTTTCAATTTTCATAATTACTTTATGCTTAAGTTTTACTGACTTTGTTATTTCTAAACTCTAAATTACTTTTGATTAGACAAATATCGTTTTCCATTATTCATTCAATCAAACAGATAATTCTCCAAACACTCTGACACAAACATGACAATGATTACATTTCATCTACACAACTAATTCTTTGTAAATATTTGCAACAAAATTACAACATAGAAGAGTCAGATGTTTTCAAATCTTATCTCTTGGCAAACATATTTAAGCTGTTATTGTAGTTGTTTCAAAATTTGTAATATTACATTCAAGCCAAATATTTCAAATTCCTATGCAGGATTTTCTGTTGTTGGTGGGGACACATCTTTCCTTGAATAGTTTTTAATTGTTTTTCTATATTGTGTGTGTGTGTGTCTCTGTCATGATTTTTCAATGGATATCATCACATTTATTTGTTATCAAATTATTACAATTTCGAGTACTTTTTGTTGTCGTTGTTTTGAAATGTTATCACCCCACCCCACTTGGTAGCCCAGCCATATGTCAACATAAAACACATCGTTGTGTGGTAATATTCAATAAAAACTTTCCAATTGAGTAGTGAAACAACAAACAGCAGCGTGATAGGGAAGAAGTTTCTCGTTATGCCGAAAAACAAGATTTTATTTTTGTTAATATTATCCTTGCAAAGATTTCAACACAAATAACTGAAAATTATTTATTTACATAAAGAATGCATGTGTCTGTGTGTGAGTGTGTGATAAGAAGTCGTATTTATTTGAGGGCCTTAGGCAAAACTATGATGTTTTCATTTCTTGTAAACTAAAGACAACAACAAATATGTTGTCTGTGTTTATTCAGTGAATTTATAATGTTTCCACATCCATAAACTTGAGCACATAAATTTGAGATAAATATGTGAGATATTCCATTTGAGTTTTGTACTTTTTGCAGCCAAGTTAGTGAGTTAATCGAAAATTATTGGACTATATTTCTATAATTAGATCTTTACTTTACGGACCCAGGATATATTGGATCTGGGACAAGAGAAATCTAATTTGAATTTAAAAGTGATGACTTATAATTAGTAATTCCTGTATCCTTGATAAAATGTGTAATGTTAATTGATATGTATGTCTTTTTTCAAAAAAAATCAGATTCTATTTCGAAAATTTTATTAAAATAACGATTTAATTTATCATCTGCATATTGATGTATGTGTTTCATACCTGTTAGATAACCTCTAAAATATTATATCATCCCAAAACTCTTCTCAAGTCTCGTAAAATGTCTCTTGACTGAAATGCGTTAAGCAACTTAAAATGTAAATGAATGCCTTTGTAATATGCTTAGAAATAGTTTTTGTTTATGTTGCTAAATTGCCTATAAACAGTTTTCACAAACATTGCCAACCTTGGTATGCCGTAACCAACTTCCTCCTAACAACCAAAAACGCCTCACAGCCCCTATACTATACAACTGCACAAACACCCAACTACAACTCTCTTCTACCACAGAGATGTTGGAAGATGAGACATTTCAAGGATTTCTATTCATATTTGCATACTTATGATATAAACTATAAAGCCATTTTGCATAAGCTCAATGATGAGCAGATGCAGATAAACTATGATAGCGTAAATTAGTCTAAAAATCTTCTGTGTGATTTGTCGTCTTTGTGAGAATTGCAAGATGTCTTGAATACAGTTATGCATACAGTTTATTTTTCTTCGACCAGTTGTATCAATGACATTACATTAATACAAATTTGGAAATATCGTATTTGTGCAGGATTTTGGTCAAATTTTGGTTACCCTACACAACAATAAAAAGAGAATATATACTTAAGGGAATATTTCTTTATCAGGTAATATTTACTAAGGCAAATTTTATAATTGGAAAATTTAAATCCCTATAAGAAAATCTAGTTGGTTCATGTTACAATGTTAACGGAATAAATGTGGAACGGTGAATGCAAATGGCCATTTATTATTAAATATTTATTTCATTCAATAATATTAAAGTATTCCTTCAAATTAATTTATAGACACCAGAAATAAATAAAAACTGCATCAATGAAAATTCAAGTCATTTCCTGATTAATGCTACATGTAATATACGCTACAGATATGACAATTAATCTAGTCAGAGCATACGGCTTTTTATGCTTTCTAGTAATTATTTCCATATATAAACAAGAACTTCGACAATATTGTCCAATATTGTTTTTATTTTATGTTACATAAAGTACCAAGGAACAAATTTTTCTCATTGAAAACTTTTCCTATTGAATATTTTACGTGGTCCTAGTAATATTATTATGAACATTCGTGACTATGCTTCTGTGTGATTTTGAAGATGTTTCAGAGCGGTTGATAAAGGTTATGCAGTAGTAATTTCCAAGGAAACCCCCATTACTCGTGTAAATCAAATGCCATTGATAAAAATGTTTGTTTTGATTTAGAAATAATAATAAAAAAAACAATAATATATACACATACATATATGTACATATTTTACATTTTATTGCAAATTTATATTATTTTGCAGAAAATCATAAAAAAGTCATATTGCAAAATAGCAAATAAAATAGTTGTTGATGTACAAACAAATATAGTACTTGAGACGACTTATTTTTATTCATTTCAGTTCGAATAACAACAACAACAAACAAAGCCATAAAAGAGCATAAACAGCCACTCAAAGTGGTCATAACAGTTACCGACGACAACAACAATTTAAACAAAATTGTCATGAATTGTTGCCACTCTCTGCCCACCAAAAGTAAAACAACAACAACAACAACAGCAGCCACAAATAAAAAAAGAGAGAACAAACGAAAAGTTTAATAACTTTTTGATGTCAAATAAAATCAACCCAAATTTGTTTTTAAAAAGTTTCTGTTTGTAATTTATGTTCAAATAAATAACATCACGTGCAAATTGAACGGCAAGCAGCAGCAAGTTGTCACAATGCCATGGCATCCACATACCCCGATTCCTGAACACACCCACCACCAACTCATCCCAAAAGGAGGCAATAAAATATTACCGAATATAAAGAAAAAATAAAAACACACAGAGAGGTGAGTTGCGAAAAAACATTGTAACCAAAAAAGCAAACAGTAAAAAGGTATTTAAGATCCTGCAGCAGCCACAGCAGTAGCAAAATAAAAGTAAAACAAGTCAATGAACTGGCAAAAGTCATGGCAGACAGTTGCCGAACAGATAAATCAAGCAGACAAAAGTAAATAGCCGCACCGAGGTCTATGTGGCTGACAAACAACTTTTCATCAACCGCATCAACCGTATGGCCATATTAAAATGACATAAATTTTAAACGGGAAAGGGGAGGGGGAGTTTGGTATGCAATTCAAAACGGTTACTGCTTGCCCTCTGTCAATTAGTCAGTCTGTTACGCAAAAATAAAACACACGAAATAATTTGATCTCTATTCAAAGGACATGAAACATAAGACAAGGATAATTGCATTTGACTGTGCTGTCGACAATACTAAGTACCCGTTGCTGATTTTTTTGTTGGTAGTAGTATGTGTTCTAATAAAAGGCCATAGAAGACAGCGTCAGACAGTATTCGCAGAATTAGTGGTTATATATTCCCAATTAACTTGTAATGATATCAAAATTGGTGAATATTTCGTGGAATGCAACAATGGTTGTGTAATTGTGTCGCCGTAATATTAGATTTTTTGGCCAGTTATTAAATAGGTGGACGTTATTTATACTATTTTTACATGAAAAGTTACATTTTCCAAAAACAATTGCTTAGATATTGAATACTTAAGCCCTAAGGGTAGTTCTTCTCTTTCCTTTCTATCGGTGTTACTTGCCATGTTTGATGAAACAAATATAACTTGACTTAGCTCAACTTTCAGAAATTAACTTATATAAGGTGCCAGACAACCACCCAATACAATATTCCTTCTTTATTCCGCTTACATTATTCATTCGAATGACAATAACTTTTATTCGAATACCTGCTGTTTATTGAAACAACTTTTCTTCTTCTGTTTGTTTTTTATTGCTAAATACGTTATTTGCAAACGTTATTCATTGAGCGATGTTTCTTCGGAGGGATACTGAGGAGTTGTTC